GTCGTGAAACTTCGTCGCGAAGGGTCTCAGGCCCTCAGCCTAGCGAAACAATGAACAATGGAGAGCCCACACGTGTTAGTCACGTGAAACAGAGAACCTTTCGAAATAACCAGAACTGAGATTTTACGACATGGGACCGTAACCGTTAAATTTATTTTCTTCTCTAAATTTGGATTTTCGAGGAAAGTGTTTACTCAACGAGAATTTGGAGGGTTGTAAATTATAAGAGCAAAACTCAAGTATTTGACATTTACTATTTCCGTAACGGTTTTTCTCACGCTTGCGATGCTGTTTTTCGTTCTCTTTGTCCATTGTATTCCAGACTTTCTTTATTCTTCTATTTCTGGTATATTTTTAATTTCCTGAACTATTTAAATTATTTTCCAACAATAATTTGAATCTCGCGGACTATTATGGCCGATTAATAGCGCCATCTATAAATTTCAACGTCAAGACATCACATCGTTTTTTGAGGATAGTTCCATTCCTTTGTTCCTTGTTTGATTGTAGTTCGGATGGAGTCCACACAAGCGCACGTGTCAGAGGAAAAAAAATTTCGAGTCTTTGATTTTTAATTTTGCGAAAAGTGGAGTTGAGAGGAATAAAAAAATGTTATTATACCATTAATATTAGTTTTATTGATATCATAACATATGATATAAAATATACACTGTGTCATGGATTAAACAAGCGAGTCGCAATGGGGATAATAACAAAATATTGGTATTATTATTATTATTTGTCTGTCTATTATCTTAGAATTCGACGCAATGTATGTATATTAATGTTGTCTTCTCTTCACAATTTCTGATCTCATTTCCACATAAATGTTTTGTTTTGTTGAACTTTATTGTTAACGTATTTGCAATCCAGATAAATATTATAATTATTGATTTATTAGTTTCTTCTTTGTGATACAATGGATGATCGTATATGCAGTATACGTTAACAATAAACAGAATTCACTTCACATTATTTTTATTTTATTTTTCTTGTTGTTATAAAAAAAGATTACTTATTTATTTGCCCTTGGTCCATCACAATGAAGGAGTTTCTATTTATTTTAACCTGTTTTTTCTTTTACATTTTTTATAAATCAAGAACTGTTTACATGTGTGATACCAGTAAAAGACAGTCTTTCTTTCTTGCCAAATCGGTTTTATCAATGTATTATCTACAAATTTCATGTATTCAAAAACACTATATAATTCTGCTTCATGAACATGCAAAAACAGTATTGAACAACTTTATTTTTTTCTTCAGGTGTACTTACTATCATTTTAAAATATAAGAAAAATATTTTCTTCCTTTCTTCATTGACATTCACGTTATATCAGAAATTTTTTTAATATATTCTCGATGGTTCTTATGATACAGGCGCCCTGACCACATCATACTATTTTCTATAGTAAATCACGAGAAAAAAGAAAAAAAAATTAAGACGAAAAAAAATTAATTACGGAAGAGTAATAAACGCATGATTAATTGAATGAATGAAAAAAAAGCAAAGATACTAAACCACTAAATATTCATCTGTTGGATTAATGGAGGAAAATTTCGCAGGAATAAACCTGGTGAAAACTAATAATTGAAACAAGAAAAATAATCCCATTGAACATGAAGAAGTCAAAAAAGGGTCCTACCGAATGAAATTCATTCTTACCATTAATCATCAATCGAATAATTTGTTCGCATTCTCGCATGTTATCAGCATGTAACATTGTACATAATGGTTAGATTGAGAAATCTTAGTAAGGCTGATGTCTCTGGAACTGTCTGGGCCCCTGTGATGAGGGTGGCCCCCTGGGTTTGCCGCCCTGCATCTGATAGCCGGTATTATTCTCAAAAGTCTCGTAGCCAGTATAATTATCGTAGTTACCATAACTTTCGTCATAACCCCCCTGATAACCACCACCATTGGCATATTCCGGTATGTATCCATAACCAGCTGGATAACCATAGCCATAGCCACCAGGCCCCCACCATCCCTGACGTTGTGTCTCAGGATTGACCTTGACTTTCTTAACATCAACTTCTTTACCATTGATCGTTTGTTTTGGTGTTTTCAATAATTTGTAAACAACTTCCTTAGAATCAAATGTTACGAAACAGAAACCCTTTCTCTGATTCTTGGTCTTGTCGAATGGTGATTGTAGCTCAACAATAGTACCATATTCACTGAAATAAGCTTTAATGTCGTCATCAGTGATGTCTGGAGTCAATCCACCGACGAAGATCTTGCCATGCTGTGCCTTTTTACTAACACGCTTTGGGTCAACCTGAAAAAATAAACCGATGCCACATTTTTTTACTCCAACGGATGAATGAATGACAAAAATTATTTGTCCACATGATACATTATTGAAGTAAAAAAATTATGAAAATTACCTTTCGTTTGTTGATATAATGTTCACCAGATGCGAGCAATTTATCGATGGTCTTTGGATTTTTGAATACCATAAATGCAAAACCCCTCGATAAACCCGTGTACTGATCCATCTTCACCGTGATACTCTCAATTTCCCCGAATTTTCCAAAATGCTCGCGCAACTCCTTGTCGGTGGTGTTACGCGAGAGTCCACCGACAAAAAGTTTTCGCTCATCATCCTTACCAGGTATACCAGCAGTTGCACCCTGTTGATCACCCTCATCGTGGGTATTTAATAAATTATTATCTTGATTATCGTTCATTTGATTCTGACTCTCCTCCATTTGATTTTGATAACAGTCAACCGCCGCCATAGCAACTTCTCCTCTACACTAGACACGCAACTTGAAAAGGAGAGAAACAAAAAACTAAATAAGTATGGGCGATCCAAATACACACACACAACTCTGGGTAAGAGTGGCCTTTTACCCAAAATTATACGATGCCAATGGTGGAACAAGAGCGAGACGTACCAAATTAAAATGATTTATCCCGTACAACGTCTTTGCTGTAACAAAATTCGTTATATCAGTTGAATAAATACGTTTATACGTCGTTTGGCCCGTCAATTTTTCACTCGATTAGGTTTATTTTCTACTGTGTGTATATTATTTTTATTGTAATTCACGGATAATACCGGTACCGGCTTGCTCCGCAATTCACCGAGAATGAACGGAACCGATTGCTGGATACGTAAGATTGACAAGGATGGATACACAGTTTATTATTATTATTTACTATAATCCACGAGAGGAAGCCCGCATCGTCGCCTTTCTCTTGTTTAGAAACGTGACAATTGGCTGTTCTGTACAGTCCATGCTCTGCCGTTTAACCAATCAGTGATGAGAGTTGAGGTGGAATGTAGCTTCATCGAACGTTGTATTGCAATGCGGCCAAAAACGGTGATAATTGTTAGACGTAAATTGGATATGTAGATTTTGGGGGTTGTCGGTTTGTAGAGGCTCCGGGAGAATTACAATTCGTGGAAATTGAGTTGTTTCTTTATTTGGATAGGGGATATTGGTGGATGGATGATGCGTGGATTTTGAATTTTATTTTAGTCGCCAATTTTTGACCACGTTTTCACATTTTTAACGCCATTTTTTAGCTCTGTCTTGATCAGAGAGTGGATATATATAGGCGAATTTTACTTGGAAAGGTAGAGTAACGACATCTTCAGGTGGACTAAAGTAGCAGAGATTATAGGGGAGATCGACAGGGCCACTGTAATGTTACGTTCCAAGCTGGTTCTCCGTTTAACAGATGGCAGGTCCAATGCCCGTGGAGCGCTAAAGCACTCTGCTCCACAAGTGCGGGAATTTTCGAATAAAAATAATTGAACACGAACACCAATTTAATTAGATAATCCAATCGAAACGTTTATATTTACTTTTCAAAACTTAGAAGATATTTTACAACAACACTTTGGGTTTTTAAAACTTGAGAAGACGATAACAATTTCTCTCGAACTTCTCGTATCCACGTATGGGGTGGATCTGCCCTTACTCTTACTCTAAAAATTAGTCTAAGTGTCGAAGACGAAGGGCTCATCCCACAGAAAAGAGTAGGGGACCAATCGTGGCCTTGAATCCAGTGAACAGTGTTGGTCTAACACCCCCGCGATCGCTCGAGCTGGCCCAGCCCCAACTCTCCAGAGATTATAGGGGAGATCAGCAGGGCCAATTTAAGTACCCCCAGGTACTTAGCCGGAATAGGTCACTAATTATAAAAACGACCTT